CACTGGGCCAGGTTCCTCCTGAAGCCTTTCCTCCATTATCCCTCCTGGGCCCATAAATGGGGCAGGAGGTGGGAATGCACACATTCCCATGTGGCAGCTTCAGCCCCCTCTGTCATCCTACACCAGACTATAGGCCAGTTAGATGTGGCCAAATGCTAGAAGAAGCAAAACCATCCGAGAAGCAGACAACTTGCTGGGGGTTGGGGTGGGTGGACTGTTCAGCCCATACAGTCCAGCCCCATCCTAGGGCCTCCTACCTGCCCTGAAACTTGAACAGCTGTTACAAGGAACTGCCAGGAGATGTCAGCTGCAGAACGGAGGGACTATGCCACAGTTTAATCCCCAGCAACTCATGGAAGGCATTCAAATTATTTTATTTCAAGAACTCTCTCATCTCCAAGTCTTTGCTCAAATGTCCCCTTCCTGCTGAGATTCAGGCTGACTACCTTTTAAAGCTGCAACCCACCACCATCGGGAATCCCAGCCCCTGCTCTCTTTTAACCCACAACTTATATCACCAATTATTGTGTTATTTATTACTTATCTTTGTTTTCTGTTACACATGTGCCCCACTCTAGAAAGTTCCATGATGACAGAGACCTTTATTTTAAGGATTTCATCCAGTATCTAGAACAATGTTGGGCCCTCAACAAGCACCGCTAAATACCTGCTAAATCAATGAATGAACAGCTGGACAGCACAGAATCAACCAGGTCTTCTCCAGTCATCAACTCCAAAGAACACTGAGGTGGGACCTATAGGTCCTCAGAAAACTACCCTTACCATGTTCTCAAGACCTGTGTCAAGGTCAGGGCCATGTGGATGTCATCAAGGTACCCTGCTAGAGATATCCTGGTGGTTACTGCCTTGGACCAATACTCCAAGACACCAAGCTCCTTTGAAAGGATAATCCCAGATTATTATTAAATATTAGCACTATTTACTAGAGCCAAATAGATCTGTGCCTGATGTCCCTTTTGTCAAACCCTGGGAACACTGAGTCAGGTGCCTCAAGAGATGGCTCTAGTCTCTGCTGAATTCCTGAAGGGTAGAGTCAGGTACCTTGCAGGTTCCCTGTCCCCACACCCAAAGAAGCCTCTCCTACTCAAGAATTCATCATAGTTCCTGGGAAGGGGAAGGAGTGGGGTGACTCTTCAAAGGATCAGTTTCCTCTGAGGCAGGGCAAGGAGTAAAAGCCACCCCAGGAGGTGGCCACAGGGCACAGCAAGTGGGGAGCTCCCTGGGATCCAGAGCTGGGTACAGTAAGCAGGGTCCCCCCCCCCCCGTCCCCGGGGAACACCATCTTCTACTCTGTACCCTGTTTCTCCCTGCACACTGCACCTGGGCAGAGGAAAACAAAGTTGCCAAGCCTATCTGGCATGCCTCAGCCAGGAAGAGCCCCAACAGCATTACTGCCCAAGTGAGATAAGAGGGCCTCTCAGAGCTGAGTACTGAGAATTCCCAAGTCCAGGCCACCAGTGTGCTCCAAATAGCCAGCCAGAGAAGCCACCCTGGCCTTGTGGGCCTCCACCCTGGCCCCCAACTCTGGTGTCTCACTGGCTGCTCCTGATTCATCTGGAAAGACCATACAGCTCAGTCTCCCATGCTGCTCCTGGAGGCTCTTGTTAGGGATGTTCAGGTGTCCCAGTGGATAGTAGGAGGTCACAGGCTGATGGCAGAGGGTTCAAGCTTTCATGTTCCATGTATCACTTTCCCTCCCAGAAGGAGAGTCTAGGGGGCCAGAAAGCCTGGCAGGAGAGGACACCTCCTCCCTAAGTGAGGTTGGAAGGGAGCACTATGGAATTTCCAATCTCCTTAAGGACCACAGAGCAGCACAGGAATGTGCTGCCCCGCCTCCCTCCACCCCCAATAGGATATAGAGAGTGCACAGCGGGAGCCCTCCAGGCCTGCGGGAGCAAAACAGATTAGACTTTGCAATCAGGAAAGACCCTCCATCAACCCTCACTCCTGGCTCACCTAAGGAGCAAGGGAAATAAGAGGAGCAACGGGAACAGAATGTCAGGTGAGGAGAGGCCCCTGCCCGATCCCTGAAAAGTATCTCAGAGGAACAGTTCTGACCTCCAGAGACTTTAAAAGACCACAAAATCATGGTCCCTCGTCTGATTTCTGGACAGAGAAACAAATTCCCTCAATCCATTAGGTACTTCCAAGAGGTCCAGGTGTCTACTCAAAGGCCTGTGAGTGACTGACACTTTTTATACTTCCTGGGGAAGCAATGAGGTCCTAGTCCTTGGGTGCCTACTATGCAGCAGGCCACACATGCTCATATATTCACCTTGTCAGCAACATCTGCAAAAACAAGGCTTGACATGGTTAAGTGACTGAGCTAAGGTCACCCAACAAGAACTCAACAAAGCATGATTCAAAACCACTTGTGTTTGACACTAAAAATCTTAATGAACATCGACTGCCAAAGACCATCAGGAAAGAAGAATCTTTTTCTGCATTACTTTACCCTTTCTAAATTCTTTCATTTGTTTCACTGTGAGCCCTGATTCCCTTTTCTGTTTTGTTATCCCGGACTATCAACCCTTTCTTCTTTTAATATTGTGGTCTATTAAAAACTCACGGTTACTTTAATATAATTAAAATTACACTAATCTGCCACCCAAGGAGAAATTCTGTTCCCTTTCAGATGCAGAATAACCCCAGATCCTAGAAACACTGTTCAAGGGCCCTCAAAGGGACTGTTCCAGGCTAACTTCAGAGAAGAGAACCACAATCTGGTCAAAGCCAGAAGCTGGGCTTGAGTCCTGATTGCCTCCAGCAAGCTCTGTGATGACTTAGGAAACTACATTCAGTTCGAGGTCCATAAAATAAAAAAGCTGCCTTCTCATGCCTCCTGAAATCCCAGCTTACAGACCCAATCTTCCTCAAAAGCCAGTTCTGATCTTGGCTTCTCCTGGGTGTGCCAGCACAGCACTCTTCTGCAGCAATCCTCTTCTTCTCACCAGTGTTTTTCACTCTGACACACCCATGCCCTCCCTGCTTAGAGTTTCTTCTGCAGAATCCTGAGTTACATACTCTTGCAGTGTCCACAGTGCCCAGGTGAAGGCAACAGGCGATAACATATGAACCCCAAGGGAAAGAGTACTGAGTCTAAGTCCCAGCCTCCTCCCCCAAAGTTCACCTGTCTCAGGTGAACGCCTTCAAGAGCCACACCGCGGGTGCCCTGGTTACAGTCAGGTCTTCCCACAATCAAGGCCCAGTGTCTCCACCAACCGTCCAGTAGGAGCAAACCAAGACACACTTTTTGGGGGCAAGAATTTTCCACTCTTCATCAAATCTAACAGCGCAACTCCCCCACCCCTCAGACAGAGTTTCAACACCGTTGTCTAAAGGTGTCCAAAGCCGCCTAGGGTAGAAAAAGGGCCGGAGATCGAAGTCCCTCCCGCGGGCTTCCTGCGTCCGGGGATTAGGAGGCACAAAGGGCCGACAGGGAGAGAGCCCAGATGGCAGGGTAGGGGCTAAGCCGCAAGGTAACGCGCTCCAGCCCCAGCTCGCGGAGACAGGGTCACAGGAGACCCGCGTCGCGGGCCTCCCCAGCCAGGCCTTGCACGTGGGGCTCGGGGACTCGGTCTCTGCCCGTGGTGTTCCCACACCTAGTCCGGCCGGGCACCTGTTTCCACGCTCCCGAAAGCCAACACTATTGTGCAAACCCAAATACCAAGTTTGGTAATCGGGGGCGGGTCAGGCACAGAGTTCCCAGCGGCACTTTCTACAGGTGTCTTTCTCCCAGTGGAGCTACACGACAAGGACAAGGACGAGGCGGCGGACCTAGGCGCAGCCCTACCGCCCGTAAGCCCAAGAAGCCCAGGGGTCTCGGCCTTCCCCCTCCTCCCCGCCCCGAGGCGCCGCAAAGGGGCGGGGCGGGCTAGGTGGGTCCCAGCCCGCACCTCACCTGGAACCCCAGGACGGCGCCTGCCCGAGGCCTCGGCGTCCCTTGGCGCCCGCCGCCGGCTCCGCTGGTTCTGCCGCGCGGGCCCACGGGCTGTTAGCTGGGCGGCCGTCTCCTTCCTGCTCACCTCCGGCGCGGAGAGCCGGGGGCGGAGCTGCCGCTATTTACATAAAGGGCGAGCCGGCAGGGCCCGCGGAACCCTGAGAGCCAGGCCCCAGCGGCCCGCCCCCGGCCGGCCCCGCCCCCGCCGCCCTGCGCCGACGGGGCGCGGGTGCAGCCTGGCGCCCTCGAGGGCGGGGACCACGCTCCGGCCAATCCGCAGCCCCAGGAGCGCAGGGGCGGGGTCGCAGCCTGCGTGAATATGCACGAGGCGCTGTCGGCCCGCCCCTGCTCTCACCTGCTCTCACCTGACCGAAGGACTACAGGCCGCGCCCAGTGTCCCGCCGCCTCCAAGAGGAGGAAATAGTTCCCGGAACCCCCGGGCAGTCTCCGGCCGCCTCCCAGGCTCAACTCCTGGAGGAAGCCGTCCCTCTCCCTCTACTCGCCCGGATCTGTCAAGGAAGGGGAACAGCCCGCCAGTCCTCCAGAGCGCTGGGCGGGGACAGTGACTGGCGAACCCAGAACTTGGTTTCAGGTCCCACGTGTAGGGTTGTAAAGAGATGAGGGCGTGGCAGCAAGCGCCTTCTCCTGGGGCTAGCTCCCCTCTTCTATTACTGTGGAGGGACAGTCACAAAGATCAGTTTTTAGTTCAAGCAAGGGAGGGGGTTAGAATGAGGGGCGGGTATGGAAGGGGGCTGGGGCCTGGGGTGCTAACCACGCACAGCTGCTTGTGGTCACTGAGTGACCCGGATTCAGGCCACACGGACATGGCGCCTCCGGGCCACCTTTATACCCCCGACTGGGCTACGTTAAGGGAAGAAACAATAGAGCACTAGTCTTCCTTCTTGGAGTACCTTACAGGAGACCTGCAACTTCCCAAGCCTTCTGACAGTGCAAGCTCGTGGAAAGTTTTGAAGTCGCTGTCCTGCCGTAAGTGGGTAAAATAGAGGGTGGAGGTGGTCCAGTATATCCAGCCACAGCAGAAAAAAAGATCTATTTTTAATGGCTTTGGCTCTATGGCGGCGAAACAGGCACCCTTTTGTTAAAGGCACGGAGTCCTCTCTTCTGTCCCACCTCCTGGGCCTCTGAAATCTAGTCCTGAGTTCCAAGGGGGTCACTGAAGGCAGTACTCTCAGGCCTGAGACTTGGAAGCTGCAGAGCCCAAGCAAGGGGGTAATGATATGGGGCAGGGTTTTACTTTCCTGCAAGTATCAGACACCCAGGGCCAAGGCACACACTGGCCCCTACAGGTCAGAGTCTTTAAGTACAGGAGGCAGCTGAGATAGTCCCTGAGAGCAAACAGTTCAGGTCTCCCAGAGCAGGCTCCAACACCTTCAGAGCTGTAGTCAGTGCGCCAGATCCCCAGGCAGTGTGAAGTCCCTGAAGCTGTAGAAGGAGATGTCACCATGATCCACCAGGGCAAAGATTAGTGGGACATCCCCACTCTGGTAGGACAATTGCTTGAGGCTGCAGAGGTCTGGGACAGGCTCATCAAATCTGTAGGTATAAGGGTTAGACTGAGACTAGGCCTTACCCCACCCCTAAGCCCCAGGATACCAGCTCCTCTGAGGCTCTCAGGGAAGACAGTTGGGAACCCTTGAGCTCTCCTGTCTCCAAATGACATGGCTCTGATAAGTTCTCCAAGAGACACCCAGTACTCTAGTAGGGTAAGAGAGTTAGGAAGGGCCAAGTTCTCACCACTCAGCCCAATCCACATCCCTTCTGCTGGGTGAGCTCATGACTAAAGTGGCATAAGAGAGACTACCCAAGAATGCTAACAACGAGGAACCAAGGGTTAAGAAGCTTGAGCTCCTATGGCACTAACTGGCTGTGTTGCCTCATACATATCGCTTAACTTCGTTGGACCTCAGGTTCTTCTCAGGGATTGGCCCAGGAGAGAATAAGGGAGAGAAAGTCCATATGGTTCACAGGACAACTGGCAGTAGCCCAGGGGTGGTGCTTGCTCATATCATACCCACTAATGCACATCCGGACATAGGGTTTGCCAGGGTTATTCTTTCGGAATGAGGCCACAGCGTCAGCCTGGTAAACATCAAAACTGATCTCCAAGCCTCCGGACTTCTTCAGCAGCCTGGAGAATAGAGTGAGAAACCTTAGGACAAAGACTCTTTTTCCCACATTTCCTTTCCACCACACCCTTTTCCCATCACCAATTCCAGGAAGCAGCCTTGTCCAGGGGAACTGAAGCTGTAAGGTGCCACTTAAAAAAGAGGAGCTTCAGGGCTGGGGTTATAGCTCAGTTGGTAGAGTGTTTGCCTCACATGCACAAAGCCCTGGGTTTAATCCTCAGCACCACCCAAAAAAAAAAAAAAAAAGGGAGGTGGGGGGCTTCAAACCTTTGAGATAAACCCACCTGTCATTCTTCCCACTCCCCTTGACACAAATGAACATTAGCTGTTGCTAGGAACTAAAGCATGTGGGAAAGGGTCCCAAAAGGCATACTCTAGCTCACAACCAACCCTAGGAGCCAAATCCCAGCTGTCACTTCACCTAGCAGCTGATATAATTACGAAGACAGGCACCACTTGGAAACTTACCCGGCACCTCCATCAGCTAGGTGTGTTGTCTGCAGCACGGAGATATGCTGAAGGACCAGGGCTACAGAGCAGTGAAAACAAGGTGTTGGCGAGATGGAAGGGGAGTCAACTTTATATCCACTCCCTTCACATTGCTGAATCTGCTATCTAGTTTAGGGTTGTCAGATTTACCAAAATTTCTTTAGTATAGTATGTCCTGTGTAATATTTGCAACATACTGAAAAATTACATTTGTTTTTGTTTTTGCTATACTGGGGTTTGAACCTAGGGGCACTCTGCCACTGAGCTACACCCCCGGCCCTTTTTATTTTGAAACAGGATCTTGCTAAGTTGCGCAGGCTGAGTTGCAACTTGCAATCCTCCTGCCTCAGCCTGAGTAGCTATAATTAACAGTGTAATTGCCAGGCCCAGTGGCAAAAATTAGTTATTGTTACTTGAAATTCAATTCTAACTGATTTGGTAACCCGAATCTAGTCACCTACAACATACCATGTCCCTATGATGATTTTTAGTAGTTCTGAATTTGTTACTACATTTAGCTTGGGCAATTTTTACCCTGCTAGTTCCCTGTGCTTAAAACCAAGGACAGTATTTATCCTTTAATTTAGCCAAGATAACACTTCCATGTTCAAACTAACAGGTTTGGAGGGGAGGAGACCACAGCTAGTAAGTGTCAAAGTCACTGATATTATCTTGTTTATAGTTTTAAGGATGCACGTGCAGTTTCACACCTCTCACCTCCCTGGACTGACTCACAATGGCTAAACCTTCCCCTGTGGGCACTGCTATTCAAGTCTACAGAACTGACTGTCCTCATAGGTTCTGTCCTCACAGGTTCCATTCTACAGCTGTCTCCTCCCACATATTAAGCTTCATCCAGTACTGGTCAATCCATGACCCTTTCAAAGTCATGATTTTCAGCTACCAGTGGCCTGCAGAGATATGGCAGGATGAAGAGGTACCTGGGGAGTCCACCTGTCCTGGACTCAGCAAGGGGGTGATGGGCTGACTCCACAGGTGTCGGGGGTAGCTCTGACTCTTCTGCATGTCTCGCCTCTGCAGCAGCTCCTTGTATTCCCGCCAGCTGGAGCAAGATTGCACCTCAGGGTCTATGTTTATGTCCTGGAACTGCCGGGCCTCTGCTTGTTCCTGGTCCCATTGGGAAAGCTTCTCCTTCCGCTGGTTCAGCTTCTGACACCAGGATTCAGCATCTATCTCCCGCCCAATGACGTTGGCTGGAAGCAACTCTGGGGCTGGGGCAGATAGGAAGGTGTAGCGACCATCCAAAGCCATGTTGGGGAAGGAGATCTGCTCAAAGTTCCAGCGAGGCTTACGAGCTCCCTTGATTCCATTCTCTACCTTGCCACTTTCTCGGTCATACCCCACACTCTGACTGGTCAGACTAGGGCAGGGCTCCAGGGAACCCAGAAATGGAAAGGTGACCCCTGGGCCTTTTGCAGGGCTTGGCTCCTGGGGTTTCTCAACTGGGCATTGGCTATTTTGGTTGCAGTCAGGTGGGCTGGAGGCTGCCAGGCTGGTGGATGGCAGGGAAGTCTCCAGGGCCGTGACTTTTTTATTAACACACCTGAAGGACATGGGAGAAAAAGCAACACATTAGCTCCTGACTGCCAAGGTGCACACACCCATGTGAGCTGAGGAAGACAGGTCTTCTGCTGTCTCCCTGGGTCTATGTGAGAACTGCCCAAGCCCATGCATTCTTCAAAGTCCCAGCCACCAACACTCCCAGCTTGTGGCCACAGTGGGGGGCATTACTCAGAGCTGGTATTCCTCTTCCTCTTGCCAGTCCCGTCCTGCAGGCGCTGGGCACAGCCATCCAAGTTTAGCTGTCTCTCATAAGGGGACAGGATGGAGCTATGGAGTAAGAATAAACAGCAAGTAGGCAATAGATCCACTTCCCCACACTGGTGCTCCTGGCGGAGTTCATGAGGAACTGGCCAAGAGGACCAGTCAGCGCTAAGGTCAGAGCCATACCTAAGAGTAAGGCTCTGAGCAGACTTGCATGAAAGATATGTGGGGACAGCCACAGGGGCCATTATGTGCCTTTGCCTAGGCTCTGGATATCACCAATGACACATCTAAGCAGAGACTCACTGAAGAGCCAGCAATAATGTGATTAATCAGAATGGGACACAGCTCAGTTGTAGAATGTGCCTGGTGTGAATAAAACCCAGGGTATGATAAATTTAAACAAATGATTAATCACTGATGAGGAAAACCAAGAGGAACTAGAAAACTTGAAAAATCAGAAAAACAAAGATAAAATTAAAACATTTTTTTCTTATGTATATATGTACACACATGTGAATACTGACTAGTCCCTCTCTGTCTTTTTCTCACAAAAAATGGCATTGTACTAACACACTACTTTGTAATCCCCTTATTTCTCCGCACTCAATCATATATTATGGACTCAGTCCCTTATCACTATAGTATAGTATTCTTCCCTGCCATGTTTTCCCCCTCCCCGCCACTGGGGATTGAACCCAGGGCATTCTGAGCTACTTCCCCGGCCATTTATATTTTTTATTTTGAGACAGGGTCTTCCTAAGTTGCTTAGGGCTTTGCTAAGTTACTGAGGCTGGCTTGAACTTGTAATCCTCCTGCCTCGGGGTCCAGAGTTGGTGGGATTACAGATGTGCACCATAGTGCCTGACCTTGCCATGAATGTTTTTTCTTCTCCCAATGTTTGATACAGTAGCCACTATTTCAAGTGTCTGTTAAATTTCAATCAATTAAAATGAAATGAAATTAAAATTTCAGTCCCAGAATTGCACAAGCCACATAAATAGACAATATGGATGTGGAAGTTTTCATCACCACAGAAAGTTCTATGAGAACAACACTGCTTAAATAGATAAGCAGCTCTTAGGCTGTTTCTGATTTTGTAAAGTGATGGTGTTTTGTGTACACTCCACACTAAATACAAGTTGTGTGGGGCAGCATTTGGATCTGTTGTTCCTCAGCAACAAGTGCAGGGCCTGACACCAGTTAAGTGGTCAATAATATTGCTGAATGAATGTTCTCACAAGGGAACTTCTATGCACAGCCATGACTATTTCTCTAATATAGATCCCACTTTTAGAAAATAAAGGCTGTGCCTGTTTGTATCTCAATGTTCACAACGAGCTGCAAGTATTTAGTCCTTATCTGCAGCTGGGTCTTGATTTGATAACCTACTAGAAAATGCAATGATGGGATCTGTCCCCATATGCCTCCCTACGAAGTACTTCAAGCCCAGATCCATGGTCTATGTCCAGGGAGCTGCATTCCAGCCAAAGGTTCCAGGTAAGAAAAGGCCACTTTCTACCTAGGGTTAAGCATCCAGGTCTCAAGATGAGAATGAATAAGAAAGGGATAGGGACTTACCTCGGTTGGAATCGTCGAACCACATAGCCCAGTCTCTTCAGGTGGCTGAAGACCTCAACAAGAAAAAAAAAAAAAAGTTCAGATGTTCATTCTTAAAAACACCAATAGTTCCCCAGACACAAGCTGTTCCCCATTTGCTCCTCCTGCACACCCCACAAGATGTCCCCCCCTTGCTTCTCCTGTACATTCCCAAACCCTAGGACTACTGGGACCACATGCATTATAAATGCCATCCCCAAAGTATGATCTGTTTCTGAATTTCTGTTCTCTTATTCTGGACACAAATGACATTTAGCAATTTTATTTTTATTTTTTGTGGTGCTAGGGATTAAACCCAGGGGCACTTTGCAACTGAGCTACATCCCCAGTTCTTTATTTTTAATACAGGGTCTCACTAAGTTGCTGAGGCTAGCCTCGAACTTGCAATCCATCTCAGCCTCCTGAATCACCGAGATTACAGGAGTAATCTCATGGCAGCATAAACACAAATCCCAAAAAGCCAACAGTGATGGACCAGAAGAACTATGCCCTAGAATGTTTTGACAAAAAGCTGGGAGAAGGTGGTAGTTATCTCCTCAATCCCCACCTCTCCATAGTCCTGAGTGGAAACAGTCCCTAGTAAAAAGCCACATGTTCATCCTTGTGTCCCTCATCCATATCAGAGGGATATATCAGGAAATCTCTCCCATCTTACTTGATCTGACCATTTCCTCCTTTAAGGACCTTCTCTTGGCTTCAGTGATCCCACTTGTTTTTCTCCTTTGTCACCAGACACTCCTGAACTTCTGGTCCTATATTCCCCCTAACCTCCCCAATGTGGTAAGTCCCAAGTCTCAGACCCAGCCCTCTGGATGCACTCCCATATAGACCCATGGCTTACATCCACCCATGTGCTTATGATATCCACATTTATGTCTCGCCTTGACTTCTACCAAGACTCCAAGCTTATGTATCCAATTGTTTGTTTGACATCCTCACTTGGATATCCAAGAAGCACCTTAAAATTAACTTTTCTGAAACAAGCTCTTTATGGTCTCATCTTCTGGAATCTGTTCCTTCCTGGGTATTCCCAGCCAGCAAATGATATTACCACTCAACCGCTGGTTCATGACCAATGAATAATCCTTGATTCTTCTCTATCCTCAAATCAAAAATCCAATGCATTGGCAAAGTCCTATCCATTCTTTCTTCACAATTTCTGAGATTCATCTATTTCTTTTCAGTTACTGATATCCTACCTCATCCCCAACCTACCTTCTCTTACCTAAACAAATATCCCAGACTCTACCACTTCTCCTCTACTCCATCTTCTATCTAGCATCTAGTTCTCTGTAAAGATAATATTCATTTGCTTATTTTATTATCTGATTGCCACCATTAAAATGTGAGCCCTGTGACAACGCAGTCCTTGTCTGTCTTGTAGCCACCCCAGCATGTGACACTAACTATTCCTGACACTTCAATGGTACTTGTCACAACTCACTGACTTAATGAATGGAGGCTCCTGGTAGTGGTGGTGGGAGGGGGGATATGACAATTACCTGGTACTGCAGGAAATTCACAGTATCCCCAGACAGCAACAGCTGGTAGGCCTCCTGGATAGACAGTGGCAGGTCTTGGTGGAAAAGCTGAATAGAGCCCTGGAAATGGGGACCACATTTCAGCTGTGCACCCTTCCTGCAGTGCCATAGCCAGGGGCAGCTCCTGGTGCTATATTCCCACCACCACCTCCCAGCATCTCAGCAAGAATATGAACAACCAGCAAAGTGAGAAGGCACCCCAATTTGAACAGGAATCCCTGCTCCCTGCACAGAATTCCTGCCTCCCTCTCTAACAAGCCCAATTACAAGTTCACTGGAAATATTGTGTATGCTTTCACTCCAATAAAAACAAGTCCTTCCCATTCCTTGGTCCTGACTATTTCCTCTGGGGACTCTCCTGGGACTGCACTCACACACTCCAGCAGATACAAAGCCTCTTCGGGGTGAAGCCGCTGCTGGCCCTGTTCTGAGAAGCCCATGGTCTGCCAGAATTTACCCTGTAAGAGACCCAGAGCAAGAGTCACAAATGAACTAGTATAGTGGCACTCCTGCCTCCACCAAGAATCTTAATTAAGTTTCTCCAGAGACCCTCATCATAACTGTTCTTATTAACAGAATATCAGCAAAAATTTCTTAGGAAAAAAAAAAAACAAACCTCAGTGTGAGTTTTTTGTGAGGACTAAATTGCTGTCTTTCAAAAAGCTAAGTTTGGCCACAGACTTGATGATGTTACTTCTGCTTTTGCAGTAAAACTTGCAAAACTCTTGAAATGTAAAAGAACCAAGGTAACACCATTTTATTCTGACCTGAATCCATTTTATGCTTGCTTAAAATGTTTTCTTTACAGCCTCCTGACAGCTGTATCTATGTCGACTACAGTACATTAGGACCTTTCCACAGCCCTGACTATGGCCCTGATGTATAACAAAAATAACGCTGAAATGTATACTCAAAACAATTCTCTCATGTAATCAAAATACCTGTCTTTCCGAACTACATCTGTCTCAACTGTCTTTGTTGTTTTTGCCTTTATAAACTCTGTGCTTCCAAAATCTAAGTGCTGGAAGTTCTTTGAGGCGTTAGCCTGCTCCCAGTCACTTGCCTGGCTTGTTCACTAAAGGACATTTTTTCCCCTTTCAGTTTGGCTCAATAAGCATGGTGGTCTATAGTTCTTGCACACACCGTAACACTCTGACTAATCTAAAAAAATCGGGCAAAAGCACGTTTTTGTGAACTAAAAAATAATAATACTTTTAGACTCCTACAAAAATATAATCCTTCAAGTCCCTCCCCCACCGTGGGTATAAAGTTCCAAGAATTTCCAGGGGCAATAGCCCCTCTAGACCCTGCAGCCAATAAATCTGCTTCCTGAAATTCCTCGGGTGTCCAGCCTCTTGCGTCCTACATCACTAGGAGGGCAGCGACGGGTGACCGTCAATGAGCCCGGCCGCTCACCGCAGGGGACTTCAACTCCACGAAACCCTCTTCCGGCCTCCACTCAGCTGCCACCAAGCTGCCCCTGGCGAGGAGTAGGGAGGGGTCCGTCTCAGTCCCCCAGACACCCCGGCGGGGTCTGGCCCCGCCGCCCAGCCGCCCCCCACCCCGGCCCAGCCCCCTCACAGGCGCTCCACGCGCTCCTCGGCCAGCAGCTGCCAGAGCTCTTCGCGACATAGACGCAGACGCTCCGCCTGAGTCGCCGAGCGGTCGGGAAGGAAGTCCTTGGGGCCATGCGACCGCTGGGGCAGCTTCTGGGACCGCGAGCGGGCAGCCAGGAGCTCCGCGGCACTGGGGGACAAAGAGACAGGCGGTCGGCGCCGAGCTCGAGGCCACCCTGCCGGGCCCGGCCCCCTCTTCCTACCGGCCGCTCACCCCGCGCCCCCGGACCCTCGTGCGGCACCTGAGCACGCGCCCCGCGGGAACCTCCACGCCCCCGTGCTCGGGTTCGGGCTCCATCGGGCCTCGTCTGCGGAAGCGCGCGCCGCCCATGCCCCGCCCACCGCCGGAACTCCGCGCCGCCCTAGCGCCGGCGGCTCGGAGCCACGCTCCTCCGGTACCCAGCAAACACGCCGGCTTTCCCCCTTCCTGGTGTCCTGGGTCCTAGCGCCGGCCCACACACGTGTACCTCTATTCCGGCGACTGTTTAACTTGCAAGTGGATGCGCAGCTTTTCAGTCCTGTCCCAAGTCCTCTTCGGGGCCCCTCTCTAGTAAAACTTGAACTGGCGTCAGGGACTGTAGTATGAACAGATGTGGGACCCTCCACTCCCTCCCCCGGGCTGGGCAAGGAGGGAAAAGGAGCTTAGAGAGAGGATAACAGTGGGTTCCCGGATTGCAGCTTTGCTAACTGGAGGCCACCTGGGTCTGTCGGGAGCGGTCCGAAGAAGTTCGAGATCCCTTCAGGGTCTGCCATTGGATCCCTTCCGAGGAGCTCCAAAACTGAGTTTCGAGGGCCTCGGGGTGGGAGGCGCTGTCCGGCCCATGCTGGTGCTGAAGCGCCACCCCAGCCCTCCAATAGCACCTCCTCGAGGCTGGGGTCCCCATCGCCGCCACCGGGGCCGCCCAGTCACTGTCCGCTAGGTGTCATCATTGCTCCAGCCAGCAGAGTCAGGCGGCTCCCTGACTCTGGTCGCGGGCGGAGGTCGCAGAGGGAGTCCCGGGAGGGGTGGGACATAGAGGAAGGGGGCTCTCCAAGTAGGGTCTCGGGTCTTGCCAAACCCCTTCACGTCACGTCTCTCACCGAGTCATATCCAGGGTATCTCATCCTTCGATCTAGACTCTAGATCCGAGATCGTTCGGAGTCCACAACCCGGACCTAGCGGCGCTAGCTATCGCCCGCGACCCCCAGCCTCCTCCACCCCACCCCGACTTCGTTTCACCTGCGCGCATGCGCTGATCCGGCCAGTGCTCGGGGTCTGGAGTGGCGCGAGTAGGGGTGGGGCTTGGCACGCATGGGGGCGGGGCCGAGGGCTCTGACTGACAGCTCGACTGCGCGGCCGGGACGGTCCCTCTCCCGATCCGGCGGGAGGGAGGGGGGAGGGGCGGGATTTCCTGCGGGAGGTGCAGAGCCGGCCTTGGAAAAGGAGGAGGAGAAAGGGTTGCGGCGCAGGGGGGCAGTAGGAGCCAGCGTCCGGAGTGGCAGAGACCGAGCAGAGCCAACTGGACCCCGGCGGGGCGCCCGGGAGAGGTGAGACTGCGGGGTCTGAGCTGGGGGCCAGCACCCTTGAGAGCCGGCGTAAACTAACTTTTCTTGCGGGATCCGCGGGCGCCTCCATCTCTCCGTTCCTTCCGTCCTCCTCGCGCCCCCTTTTTCGTCCTCTGGCATCTACCCCTCCAGCGCTCGGCCCTCCCGGTCCCTCCCGCCGCTTTGTTCCCCGGGTCGGCCTGGGCTGGGCTCGGCTGGGGGTTGCGCGGCGCTGGAAGGGCATTCCGAGGGGCGGGGGAGCCAGCCCGACCCCAGGCACTGCCAGGGGCGCCCTCCCCCAGTATCGGCCGCCGGCCCTGTGTGGGGGGAGTGCCCTTTAAGTTGGGCTTGAGACATTTGGGGAGTGAGTGGTACCCCTCCAGGGCCCCAGGCCTGCTCGGGTCTCATGCCACAAGACTCTGGCAAAAATTCGCCGCCACCGAGGAACTGACGTAAGCCTTTTTGCAGTGAAGTCGAGGGTCTGGGCTTCAGGTTCAGGCTTGGGGGGCCGTCGGCCATCGGTGCCCCAGCTCTGTCTCTCTTCTTTGCTCACCCCACATAGAGTGAGGAAGGGTCAGCAACAGGTGCTGTGAGTTTCCCTGTGTAGCAGGTAGATGCCCCCAGAAATGGGATCCATAAGCTCCCCATTCCACCCCCTCAATTCATAAAGAGCCCTAGGGCTAAAGCATCCAGCTATTAAAGTGAAGCCTAGGTAGGGAGGAGTCTGGGGCAGGAGCCTTGGACAGGGAGTGACCCCTGCCCGTCTGCCTGTGCCACCCTCCTAGGCCCCACCTCCTGGCCCCAGTTGTCTGTGGGTGTCACAGCCTGGGGCTGTGGAGAACGGGCTTCTAGCTTGGCCTGCTCCAGTGTGTCGTGCTGCCAGGGCCCCTCCTGCCCAAGGCTGAGGTACTACTTGGTGCCCTGGGGCCCCCATGACTCAGCCTCCCCCTCACAGGATACCACCTCCCCTCTGTACATACTCCTCTCAGGCATGGCAGTTCCCTCTCCCCTTTGAGGGATTCCTTGACTCCCAGGGTGGTTTGGGGACTCCTTAGAGGTCATCTTGCTCATCCTGGTGCCCTGCTTCTCACTTGCAGGCTCTGGCCCAACCTTCAGCAGAGGTACTGCACTGTTTTCAGACCCCCACGACCTGGCCACCACTGCTGCCTGAGGGAATGCTGGCTGCTCCTGAGCCAAGCTGGGAAGCTCTACGTGCCTGGTCCCAGCCCATCCCCGGGCTGTCAGAAGCTGCAGGCTGATATCTGTGCACATTTCAACACAGCCTCCACCCGCTCCAAGACTGGCTTTCCTGCTTATGGTGGCAGCTCACAGAGCACATTAAGGGAGCATCCATCAGCGCCTGACAAGGAGCCCTCTTCCTGGGACACCAAACGTGCCCCAGGACTGGAAGCCCTTCCAGGGGCTGAGGCATGGCATACTGACACTTGGCTTGGACACATTTCCCTGTCTTTGCCCTGGACTCCTGAGCCTAGAGCCCAGCCTGAGGATCAGAATGGGTCGTGAACAGGACCTGATCCTTGCTGTCAAGAACGGAGATGTGACTGGTGTACAGAAACTGGTGGCCAAGGTTAAGGCCTCAAAGACAAGTGAGTACTTGGTGGGGTGACCAACGAGCTGGGGCCCTCCCTTGAGTGCTGAAGCTACAGAGGGAGGATAGGGAGCGGGGTGGTCACTGGGTTCTGTGAACTTAAGGAAAGACAATGGTCCTTTTCTGGACAAGAAGTGCCTCTGTCTGGGAATGCTAAAGGAATTGGATCCCCTTTGCTGTGTGTTCCTAAGTGAGTCACTTAACTTCTCTGGGCCAGTTTCCTTGCTTGCCAGGAGAAAAGATGGAAGTACATTCATTCAAATTTTTATTGAGTGCCTATTGTGTGTCAGGCTCTGTTACAAGCCCTGGGCCAGATTAGTGAACACAACAGACCAAATTTCCAGTCCTCATGGTGTTGTCTGCTAGCTGGTGGCTTTTGGATGTCTTTGGCACCATGGGGTTTCTGGGTATGTGTCCAGAAAGATTGAATTGGTAGAGCTCCATGCCCACTGTCAATCCTACGTACACTCAACTGGAACCTCTCTGTGCTTTATGTCTAAATTTCTGGGGGATTTTCCTTACTTTCAACACAATCTGACCACTTACTAAAGAACCTCTTTTCCACTAACTTATCTGTGTCCCCTGAAAGTATGCAGCTAATTTTCTAGAGGTTTCCATGGTCTGGAGGCTCTAGTTCTGACAGGGCTGTGGGGGGCTGAGGCCTGGGTGGCCACACCTGAACCCCATCTCTTGGGTCCCTCTGTGGTGACACCCCCAGGGAAATAGACCTCTGGCCTTTAGGGTGCGCTCTCTGGGCTGTCCCAGGAGGCCACTGGACTTATGTCCTGGAGGTCCTAGATGAGCAGGGACAGCTGATGGTTCCTGCCACCAGACTGGGTCTGGATATGGAGTTCCTGGAGGGGGGGGTCTCCCCTGAAGTGCTGGAGCTTTAGACCAAGACACACCTGGGTCCTGTGCACAGGAAGGAATCCCTATGCCTGGAGATTTTATACCATCCTCACCCGCACCCCGAGTATGAGTGCCGGGGAGGGATTTTACTAGTGTTACCCACCTGCACAGGAGGGTGGAGGCCTGGGCAGGAAGCGATGGTGCCAGGGGTGATGGTTCCTGTCCCTGGAGAGGTGGGTGCAGGGTGAATGTAATAGAGGAAGGGGCTGTGGAGGTCCCTGCGCAGCCCAAGAGTGGGAGCCACTCCCCCTCTTCCCTTACCTCTGTGTTTGGGCGACCTGCCCAGTGGGGCTTTGGTCATACTCCTGCTGTCCTCACATCCCCAGGACCTCAAAGTAAGGCCCATGGGAGGATGGTGGGCCAGGTCCAGGGACAGGTGGCAGGAACTTCAAAGCCAGGCTCCTAGGCTCCATGGCTCCATGTGCCCAGAGGAAAACGTGTGTAGGGGAAGAGGTCCCTTCACTCAGTCCAAAGAGGAAATACACAGGTACAGGTGTGGACATAGGTAACAAGGGCCTGGAATTCCTTGTGAAGTCCTGGCCACGTGCTTCCCTTCCCTGTCCTCTGAGAAGTTGGAGAAACTGGCAACAGAAGTGAGATCATAAGGTGACCTTGGCAGACCTTCCAGTTTATGAAAAATTGTAGTCCTCTCACTTCCCTGTGAGCTGGTGTTTTTATATCTGTTGTACAGGTAAGGAAAGTGACACTCAAAGGTTAGTGACTTGCTCAAGGTCACATAGCCATTGTGGGGCGGATCTGAGATGGATCTGAGATAAACCTGTGCCAAACCTGTGCTGAGTTCCGTGCCCCACCACCCCATGCTCCCTCACTGATTGCTGATTTCTGTGCTCATCAGCATTTCACGGGGATTGTTCTAAAAGTACAGATTCCCTGGACACCCCACCCCCATTGAACTCACCAGAAAGGCCAGGACTCTGCAAACCAGAAAGTTCTCCAGGTGATTCTAATGCCTTTCTGAGAAGGGGAGAGGGGAAACTCCTGTTCCATGCCACAGAGAGGCTAACTAAACTGCCACTCTAGGAAGGGAAGTGTCAGGGCTCCCTTTTTCCCTCCTGTGGGGATGGCCAGAGCTTTCTGGCTATCAAAAGAGAACAAAGAGACATCCTCCTTCCGCCTCCTGTATCTGCTGTCTGGCCTACATTCTTTCCCCCACCTGATGCTCTTCAAGTTGCAGGTGGCTGGCAGGAGAAGGTGCGTTTGTCCTGGCCTTGCCCCTGTTCCTGCCCCCGTCCCTCCCTGCCTCATTTTTCTGACAT